CTTTTTTATATAACCATAAGGGAAATCTCCACCTTGAGCACTATGCAATAGGTGCTGCAACAAGCACGACTATCAAGTTAATATCTCCACACAAACCTCTCCCTGGCAGCCCAGACTCATCACCCACCTGCCGCTTGTCATCTCCACCTGGTTATCTAAAAGTCCCCTTAATGGCACCGTCTCTATCTGAGCTCTCAAGTTTCCTCTCACCATCCTCCCTGTTCCCATTAATAACATCTCCATCTTTCCAAGGCTTAAACCCAAAACCTTGGACTCAGACTTTTCTCTTCTCCTCTCTCATCCCACATCCAGCTCTATAAGAAATCGCATCAGTTCCACTCCAAAATATATTTGGAATCTGCGATTTCTTGTGACCCTCACTGCCACCACCCTATCGAGCCACTCTCATGCCTTGCCTGGGTGACTGCAGACGTCTCTGGTCTCTCTGATTCCATCGTGCTTTCTTCAAGCTGTTCTCAACACAGCCAGGATGGTCTTTTTAAGGTGAAATCAGAACCAACCACTCTTCTGCCGCACACCTACTAAAGACTCCCCACGACACTGAAGGAGAAGCCAAGTCCTGCCCAGGCCCAGGAGGCCCTTCTTGGCCAGCCTCCCCCGGTACAACTCCTCCTCACCCACTGCTCCAGCTATTCTGGCTACATTGCTGCCCTTTGAACACACCTTGCACACCTGCACCAAGCCCAGGAGCCCTCTTCTTCCAGAAACTCACATGGCCTCCCCACCTTCCTCAGGTCTTCATTTAAATGACTCCTTTCCATGAGGCCTTTTCTCACCACCCTATTCTTTTTTAACTCTTTACATGGTAATTTATTCGTGTACTTTAAGGGGAACCTATTTCAATTGTATACATGTAGGTTGTTAGGTTGTACACATAAGAGCAGTAGTGTTGAATTTTTTTCTAACCATCCTATTTAAATTGTAGCTAAGATCATTTTCCATTTCCTTTATTTGTTTTTTTCTAAACCCCTTGAAAAAAGACAACCTACAAAATGGGAGAAAGTATTTGCAAACTCTTCATCCAACAAGAGATTAATATCCAGAATATACAAAGAACTCAAATAACTCAACAGTAAGAAGACAAGTAACCCAGTTAAGAAATGGGAAAAGGAGTTGAATAGACATCTTTCATGTGAAGATATACAAATGGCCAACAGACACATGAAAAAAATGTTCAACGTCACTCAGCATCAGGGAAATGCAAATCAAAACCTCATTGAGATATCATCTCACCCCAGTTAGACTGGCTATTATCAAAAAGACGGAAAATAACAAATGCTGGCAAAGATGTGGAGAAAGAGGATCCCTCCTACACTGTTGGTGGGACTGTAAATTAATGCAGCCATTATGGAAAACAGTATGGAGTTTCCTCAAACAACTACAGATAGAACAGCCATATGATCCAGCAATCCCACTGCTGGGTATGTACCCAAAGGAATGGAAATCATCACGTCAAAGTAATACCTGCACTCCCATGTTTATTGCAGCTCTATTTACAATAGCCAAGAGTTGAAACCAACCTAAATGTCCATTGACAGGTGATTGGATAAGGAAAATGTTGTATACATACAGAATGGAACACTACCCTGCTATGAAAAAGAATGAAATTCTCCCATTCACAGCATCATGGATGAACTTAGAGAAAATTGTGATAGGTGAAATAAGCCAGGCACAGAAAGAGAAATACTGCATGTCCTTATTCATAAGTGGGAGCTAAAATAAAGACAGAAAAGAAAGAAAGAAAGAGAGAAAGAGAGAGAGAGAGAAAGAAAAAAAGAAAGGAAGGAAGGAAGGAAGGGAGGGAGGGAGGGAGGGAGGGAGGGATAGAGAGAGAGACAGAAAGAAAGAACGAAAGAAAGAAAGAAAGAAAGAAAGAAAGAAAGAAAGAAAGAAAGAATAATAATACGTTAAACTTTCAAAAAAAAACAGAACTACGATTATTAGAGGTGGGGCAGGGGGTGGTAAGAAACTAGTTAAGGGTCACAAAGATTGATTATGTTTTGTAAACCTGAGTATACTAATTATCCTGATTTCGTCACCACCTGTTGTACGCATGTATTGATATTCGATTCTGTGCCCACCAATATATATAATCAATTATCTTTCAATAAAAAAACTGTCAAAAAATAAATAAACTATGCTTGCCTCTAAAAAAATAAGACCATCTGATATACTATAAATTTATCTATTTATTTTATTTACCCACCATTTCCGCCCAGTAGAACACATACTTCATGAAAGCAGGGATTCTCATCTGTTCAATTCACTGCTTTATCCCTACTACGCAGAGCACTATCTTGCACATAGTAGGCGCTGAAGTGTTGTAATCCATCATTCCTCTGTACATTACTTACCTATTCCCTTTGAAGCCATTTAGAATCAAGAAGGAATGAAAAAGCACCTATGGCAGCCAAAATAGTCATCTATATCACTGAAGAGTATATACAGACAGCAAAGTACACGAAAGATGTTCGATGTTATTAGCCATTAGGGAAAAGCAAATTAAAACCAGAGTGAGATACTACTACGCACCTATCAGAATGGCAGAAATAAAAAATAGCGATAACACCAAATGTCAGAGAAAGGATGCAGAGAGGATGTTGGATCTTTCACATGTTGCTGGTGGAAAGTAAAATAATACAACCGCTTTGGAAAAGAGGATGGCAGTTATCTGCAAAATTAAACGTGCGCTTACCATGTGACCCAGCGATTTCACTCTTGGGCATTTAGAAATGAAAACATGTCCCCACAGAAACGTGTACATAAACATTCATATCAGCTTTATTCATAATAAGACAAAACTGGAAATAACCCAAATGATCTTCGATGGGTATATGATTAAACAAACCGTGTATCTCTTTTCTCATGAAAAGAAAGGATACATTATAATAGCAAAGATTTAGGTTTGTCTCAAAGAACAGTTTCTTAACAGATTTGTTAACCAAGAGTAGGACATGAAAATCATCCTCTGCTGGAATTCTTTGAAAATATATTGGATGCTTACAAGGGTACTTCAGAAAGTTCATGGAAAAATAGTATTGAAAGATAGTATGAATCTTTCCATAAACTTTTCAAAGGACCCTCATATAGTTCAATAGATGTTAATTATGAGCCACTTACATGACAGTTACTATGTTAGGAACACAGACATGGTAAAAGGATATAACTTATACCTGCCCTCCCAGATGTGTCGTTCTAATTGGGGGGGCGGTGACAGAAAAATAGTCACAGACCCTCTAGTATAAAATGTTCAATGAGGGGGAGAATGGGAAGCTGTAAGAACATAGGAGACGAACATCTCACCGAATCTTGGACAGAAGGGGATGCAAAAAAGTTTTCTACACACAGGTAAGGGAACAGAGGGGCATGCTGATTTGAAGGGAGAAGACTGGAAGCTTCCATGCAGGCGGGACAGCATGTGCGACAGTGCAGCCAGTCCATAGTGTACCTGGGGGCCTGCAGCTCAGGGAAGAAGTGAGAGATGAGGCTGGACATTGGGAAGGCATAATGGTGAGCAGGGATCAGTCCATGAAGGGTCTTTCTAGGTAGCCTGAAGGGTTTGGGCTGTGAAATAAGCAGAAGTAGCAGTTGAATAGAAGCTCTCATCAAACTGGTCTTCACCATATACCACCAGCCACTCCTTGAGCTTAACCACTTCTGTAACTCATCTTTCTGCTGGGTCTTCTACTCTTCTCTGATCTCACCTCTCCTAAGCTCCAAGGTCTAGTTCCAACTCCACCCCTTTCTCCAAGCCCCTGGCTGGAGGGGATTACCTCCTCCTGGGTAGCAGGCATGCGGGTATCTGTGCCTGCTCTGCACAGCAGCACCCACGCTGTAGTCTGATGGTCCAGAAGCTCAGAGCCAGCCTGCCTGAGTCCCCATCCCAGCTTGACCACTGACTCTCTATGCTTCATTTCCTTATCTGTAAAATGAGAATAATAACATTCCTATCTCAAAAGGTGATCTCAGGATTGAATCATTTCATTGATATATTGAAGCTGCTTAGAACAGTGACTGGCACAAAGTAAGTGCTTAGTCGATGGTACACTTTATTATATGCTGTTGCTCCCCCATGCACCCAACTGTGGGCAACGTATATCACTGGTGATCAATTAACTTTGGACTAATCAGACAGTAGGAGTCAATGTCCTCCGCTCACGGACAGTCACCTCTATCTATAACTTCAAACTCTTCGCTCAGATAATGATCGATACAGGCCGGAAATACACTTTCCTTTCATAGGCAGTTGTATGGTAGAGGCCAGAGCCCCAAACCATGATTTAGAAGAACTAGGTCCTCTTCCTTGCTCCTCTGTCTGAATCCTCAGATGCCCCAGGGCACGTGCCTGCCCCTTTCAGAACTCTGATGCTCCCATGTGTACAATGGGAGTGAGTTCAGTGAGACCCAGAACAACAGAGGTCTTGGCAGCACTCTGCAAAGTGCTGATGCAAACATGATTTCCATTTCCCAGTCTGTAAGCCACACACCTCCCCATCCCTCACTTTCACTTCCAGATGAAGCACACTCCCGAGACAGGCACAACTGGCAGGACTCCAGCGCAGGCAACAGGTATATTTTCATTCTCCCCACCCCCTGACTTGATGAATTATTTCTCTCCCCCTCCAGGGACTTTCCTAACTTCCTTATGTAAACGAAGGAAGGAGCATATGAGCAGACTGTATATAAATATGCTTGGGAAAGCTTTCTTCTTCTTTTTCTTTTTTTTTTTTTTTTCTTAAACCAAACTTGGTTTCTGTTGTAGGCGGTGCATTCCCTAACAGGGCAGGGCTGCAGTGTGCTGCGGAGGGGGGAGGAGGAGAGGAAAAGGGGAGGAGTAGGCACAAGTGATTAATTCACTCACTGTGAGAGCTGGTCTTCTATTTAATGGGGGGGTCTCTCTGCCCAGGAGGAGTCAGAGGCGCCTCCAGGACCAGCGGGAGCATGGCAGAGGACCTGGGGCTGAGCTTTGGGGAAACAGCCAGCGTGGAAATGCTGCCCGAGGACGGCAGCTGCAGGCCCAAGGCCAGAGCTGGGCTAGGAGCCAGGAGCAGCAGCGTGCACTGGGCCGTCACCTGCTGCCTGGTGTCACTCCCCATCCTTGCAGGACTCATCACCTACCTGCTCGTTGGCCAGCTCCGGGCCCAAGGAGAGGCCTGTGTACAGTTCCAGGTAAGCCAGACTCCACTCTGACCTGGGGTGATCAGTGGACTCTCTGCGGGCAGCAGCAGCTATCTTTCAGCTTTGGACAGAGGCATCTCATTCCTTGCTTGGACAAGCGAAGGAAATATACAATGGGAAGGGTGGAGTGGTTCCATCTGGTTCTTATCCTCAGTATTTCCAGGGAATGAATTGTCCCTTCTTATGTTTACGTGGGAATAACTTCAAGCCCCATATTTAGATAATTATAATCACAGTGTACTGATAATTTGGGAACATTCCTTTTTATTTAAAAACAACACTTTGTATAACTAACACATGGTCATTGGAAAAAAGTTAAAAAATACACATAAGGAAATGAAGAAAATTATCATTACTCATAATCACTTAGAGATGACCACAGTTAACAATTTGGGATATATAATTCCATATTATTTTTAACAAAATGAGATTATTCTGAGTCTCCTAATATATTATGATTTTATTTATATGCTAATGAATTCACAGAAGCATGATGAAATAGACAGCTGTATTATATTTCCATATGTGTATGCTATAATTTAACTAATTGCCTTTCTTGGGTTTAGAAATACAATTTTTCAATGTTGAGAAATAACCTCCTGCCTGTGTATGTCTAAGGTCTTGCTGGGGACTGGGGAGAAGCTTTGTCAAAACAAAGACCATAGGGTCTAGAGAGAATAACAGTAGGAAGATGGATGTACAGGTATCAAGCAGAAAACATAATTCTGGGCCAGGAACATTAAAAATGTGCCTCAAAGCCTAAATAATGTGTTATTCAAGTAATATCTTTCTTAAAAAATGCTCCTCCATAATCTAGATGGCTGATTTAATGTCAGACCAAAGTTTTCAATTCCAAAGGAGAAAATAGGCTTTTCAATTGGTTTAATTGGAAACTTGGTCTCTAAGCAATCCCGGCAACTTCAAAGCAGAGACGTGGTGCATGAGCGTGGCTAATGTGTAACTCTCACCCTCCCATCAGGGTCAGGCAGCAGCGCTCATGGTCACATGCCATCTCTTGTAAAATGCAGAAATATGCAGAAGACCCAGAGAGGCTGCTCGTGTTAGGGGAAAACTCCTGGGCATGGGAAGTCGGGTTGTGACCTCTTAAAAACCATGAGGTTGTTTCCTGGGAGAAGCCAAACTGCAGCACCCAAGCGGGTCCCTGGGACTCTGTCCCTCTGTCCCTCGGTAGCCAGGAGACAGCAGCACCCAGCACCCTCCTGGGTTCTGAAGGGAACAGGCGTATGATGGGTGAAGGGAGGCCCTGAGGCTCTTCCCCCCGCTGAACCCCAGCGCTGCCACCGTGCCCACCATACTGCAGGTGCTCAAGGATGGGACGAGGCTAACGCTGTCCATTTGCCTGTAGTTGAACCAATCTCCCTGGAGAGTGGATACGTGGGGGTGTTTGGAGCTGCAGTTTCGGGACTAACGCTGTCCATTCGCCTGTAGTTGAACCAATCTCCCTGGAGAGTGGATACGTGGGGGTGTTTGGAGCTGCAGTTTGGCCAGGCTGTGTAACTTCTTAGTGCGTCAGTAGAAGGAGAAAGGGAAACAGGGTGAGGCAGGGCACATGTAGCAATCGGGATCCTGAAAAGAAACAGTTGGCCCGCACAAAGAGGAGCGTTTAAAGAGTTTTTAAAGAACGGTTTGAAGGGGATTAGAGATGGGCCTATTTGTGGAGATGCAGACAGATGGAAAGGAACCCAAAGGGCTGGAAGCATGCAGAGGTTAGCAACAGTGGGAAGCCCGTCACCGTCCCATCCCTCAGCATGAAGGGGCAAATGGAGAGAAGAGTTTTAGAAGAACCCAGGGAGCACTACAGCCTAGGAGAGGGCTGCCCAGAGGACCTAAGGGCACCGCAGAGAAAGGCAATCACTGCCGGAACAGCAGGGGGTGAGCAGAAGGGAGGAGGGAACGCTGACCGCCCTCTCCTCCCAGCCTCTGATCCACTGACCAAACTCAGCTGGGGGCCCGGGCTGGCAGGAGCTGGGAGCCGCCAGGCCTGAGGTCAGCCTCAGGGGGGGCAGAGCAGGGCAGGGAAGCCGATCTGGACAGGCTAAGGGAGAATAAACAGCTCAAGGGAGAAGGAAGAAGATGGAATTCAAGGAGGGAAACCAGCAGAGAGCTTGGGTGGACACAACAGTGAAACGTTACGGCTCTTCAACAGACACTTGCATTTGAAACCCAGCTCAGCCACTTCTGGCCTTGTGAAAACAGTCGTGTGGCTTCATTTCTTTAAGCCTGTTGCTTTTCCTTCCAAAAGGGGGTGCTAATATCAACACTCTGATGGTGCCAATAAGACGTGTTTGGAACATGGGGAGAGCTACATGCACAAGGTCACTGTAACATAATCATCCCTCTATGCCGGGCACCAGGCCACTGCTGAGGAAACTTGATCTTGGCCTCCAGGAGCTCCAAGTCGGATGCATGAGGCAAACAAGGAATTAGGCTATTTCAACACAGAGGTGCTGTGGAATTCCAGATATTCTCCTAGCTCAGCCGCAGGAAGAGGGTTGCTTCAGGGAGGACTTCCTGGAGGAGGAAAGGAAGGTACCTGTGGCTAGAATGTTGTGCCTGAGGTCCAGGTCATGGCTTATTATGGATAAAAGCCAGTCAGGCAATCACAGGCCATTGGAGGTAACAAGGACTTTGAAGCTTATCCAGCCTAGAGCCCTGTGTTTTACAAATAGGGAAACTGAGACTCAAAGGCTGAAGAGATTTGCCCAAGCCTGACCTCTAGTCAGTGGCAGAGCCAAGATTTGAGATTAGACCATGTGACCACCTGCTCTATGATGTAATTCTGTGCCAGGTGCCAGGCTGCCACGCTATAGGCCAAAAGCAGAGCAATATCAGTAATATCACAGAGGAAAGCCCACTGTTATAATTACTGAGCACCACCCCCACACACCATGCCAGCCTCCCAGACAGTAGCTTCACATGTCAAATCTCATTTCATCTTCAGAACCACTCACCCAGGACGCCTGGCCCAGGAGGGAATTAGGGCTACCCATGTTTTTCCAAAGAGGAAAGTATGGCTTAGAAAGGTAGCATGTCATGCTCATGTTGCAGAAATATAATTAAAAACAAACTCTTCTCACGACACAGAAATCCTCTCCACAAAGGTAGTAGAGAAAGAAAATACTTGTATTGTCGAATAGGCATTGAACCAGAACATGATGCACATTTCAGGCAATCTGGTAAGAAATTGCAAAGACAGAAAGAAATCTCACCCTTTGATATAGCTGAGCAGATACAACCCATTACATATGAGGGTCCTTCCAGAAGTTCATGAAAAGATTCATATATCTTTTAATTCTATTTTTCCACGAACTTTTGGAAGGACTCTCATATAAGTGAAGCAAAAAAAGCCAAATGCGTAATAGCATATATAATGTGACACGCTTCATTTTGTGAAAAAATTCACATGTATGAATGTGTTTCCAAATGCCTGTATAGCATATGTCAGAAAGAGAACAAAAGAAATTGGTAAATCTGCTAGCATCGTGGTAGGAGAACTGGGTGTTTGAGCACAAGGGAAGGAGGGAGACATTTATAGACCTATGCCATTTTGTACAAAATGTGTATGTTACCTATGCAAAAAATATATAGGGATACTCAAATGTTTTAGGAGCTTTAGACTTCCATGGAATATTAGGCAGTTTTTCATCTTAGAAAAATCATGAATCAAAAGTTTAAACTCAGCTTGAATTGTGGTCTTGCCACTTCTGAGCCACGAAACCTAACCTCCCTGGGCCTTGCTTCTTTGTGTATGAAATGGGGATAACTAGAAATAAAGTGTTTAAATTGTCTGGCAAGGGGTGGGAGATTAGTAAATGATAGCAATTATTATTATGACCAGGGAACTTCCCTGCTGGGGAAATTACATCACAGAGGACAACTTCTCTCCCTGCTCTGGAATCTGCCATCGCCAGGCCTGAGAGCAGGTTTTGATACTGGATGGCTTTTCTTGGTCTCTGATGTTTATGAGCCATCTCTGTGCCTCCTTTCCCAACCTAGACATGCCCTCTGCCCCCATCTCCTAGTCCATTCTTTACCCAGGGGTACTTGACCACAGCCTGGGCATTCTTTGGGCCTATTCAGTGGTTTCCACTGCCCTCAGGATGGTTCCACAGGCCCACTAGGCCCACAGGTGCTCTAAGGCCAGGCCTCCACCTTCCCCAGGCACAGCTCTGACACAGAGTCAGGCAAAGCAAAATGCACCAAGTTGGCTCAGCCCCGAGCCTGGCACAGAGTGAGCACTAAGTACTGTGGGATGAATCTTTAAAGATGTCATAAGGGCTCTCTTGCCCAGTGTCACACCACTGCCCATCTTTGTCCTTCCCTTCCAGGCCCTACTTCTAGAATCATCTGCACACTCTCCCCACACCGTGCTTGGTTCCCTTCAATCTCACTTCCACCCCTTCCTGAAAATTCCTGCGAGGCTCCTGACCAGTTTTCCCTGCAGCCCTCTTCCCCCTGCACATGCCTCTGAGACCCCCAGTTCTCCACCCAGGACCCCCTTAGAGTCCTCTAGCTGCTGCTTTAGAGTCACACACACTTGAGGGAAAGCCATGCTTCCACCACAGCACAGCTGTGACCTCTTGACAGCTCTTTATATCCAGACACCAAGCTAAATTTTATTTTTATTAAGTGTTTTTAGAAAAGTAAGTGAGATCTTGTCTATAAAGTGCTCAGTGTGGTGTCTGGCATGTAAACACATGCAATACATGTTTGCTATAATTACTATATGCATCATCTCAGTTAATCCTTGAAATCACACAATGAAGAAAGTACTACTATTATCCTCATTTTAGAGATGACAAAAATGAGGCATAGAGAAATTAAACAACATACTCAAAGTCACGCAGTTAAAGACTGAGATATTGGGATTTAAACACACCACATGTGTTCCTTTTAAACACTATGTTTGTCTGCCTCTGTGGTGTTCAGGACAATTTAACCCTGAGAAGTGTCTGGCACATAGTAAGTAC